CAACTGGAGTCCAGTTGCCTGAATGGCGTCCGAGATCAGCCGCCTTGCTTCGTCAACGGACCGTGGCGGCGGATTTCTTTTTGCTGATGGTTCCATCACTATCCGTGCTCAGCCTACTTAGCGCGAAGGTCAGGAGCATTATTCCTTTGGACCTAGCGCTAGCTCCGAAACATAAAAAGAAAAGATAAGTAAATCGACGGTCACGATCGATTGATTGGTAGACTCTACCATACATGCATGCATACCGCACGGCTGTTCCCACTTGGCCATCTAACAATATGGCGGCTTTTGCGCCGTTTTTGACAAATCCCAACGGTATTTTATAATACGAAGCGAATTATTACATTTTCACATCAAAACCATGACGAACCGAATTTTTGTACTTGCTGACACGCGCGTCAGACGCGTTCTCGATCGCCTCGAAAATATTGTGAGGAAAGAGATTGAGAGATGAGAACAAAGGAAACAATCTGAATTATTTTGAGAGGAGAGAAAGCTAAAAGAGCTCGATGGAAGGCCGAGAATTTCAGATAGGCCAGCAAACAAGATGCAGAGATACACTAACTTTACTGTGAGGATTTCCTCTTCCTGCTGACTGGACGGAGCGACTCGTGTTGTGGGAGAGTTGCAATCAAATGCGTCTGTGCAACAGACTTGAGGCGCTCCAAGGGATTGCGGATGGCCTCGTGGTGTCTCCTTAGCTCGTTGAAGCGGGCGTGAATGCTCTCACTCCCTTGCTCTGCGAGGAGACCAAGACCAACGCCTCGCCGTCGGATGGACGGCACGACATGCACCTCCAACATGTGCAATTTCGGCGTGATGTGGCCGAGCTTTTTGCTGACGACGATATCTCGGCATGCAGTCATAAATGTCTCCACCAAGCCTTCTAGCTTGGATATGGTGGCCTCGTCCACAGGCCTGCAGTGGCTGAAGAGGGCAGTGCACTCGCCATACAGGGACATCAGGTGCTGGTAATCCTCATGAATTCGATTTGCCTCTGGGAGCAGCAGAGCAGCAGCGGCGCACGAGAAGCTACTGCAGATAAATGTGCTGGGGTTATTTCAGTTGTCACTGCTGGCTGAAGAGCTATGTGCACATGGTTGCCCACAAAAGCACCTCCATGGTATGCTTGCCTATCGATTCCATTGCGCTGGAAAACTGGCTCGATGCTTGCTCAACATGGCCCCTCACACTTTTTGTTCTGTTTTATTGCGGCCATTTGGTCGGTGAGTGACTGTCTCCACGCAAGCAATACAGTACGGCGTGCATCACCATTCTTCCACTGGTCTTGTAGGTGTTGTGTCACGCTCTCCACTGTGGCAGCAGGTATCAAGCTGAGAAAAGAGAACAGTGTACTGGACTTGCTGCTGCACTACATGTAGTTGTTGGGTAACTGCAGAAATCTCCTCATCCGTTTTGCTGGCTTCATGCAGTGACGAAAGCTTTTCAAAGCTGCCAGCATCACCAGCTACTGCTGTAGCAGCAATGGCTGCAAGGATGACAGTGGCAGCAGGAACGCCTGCAGGAGCGACAGTGGCTGCAGGAGCAGCTGCAGGGACGGCAGTGGCAGCAAGGACGGCAGTGGCAGCAGGAACGGCTGCAAGGACGGCTGCAGGGACGGCTGCAGGGACGGCAGCAGGAACGACTGCAGGGACGGCTGCAGGGATGGCAGTGGCAGCAGGAACGGCGGCAGTGGCAGCAGGAACGACGGCAGTGGCAGCAGAAACAGCGGCGGTGTCTGCTGTAGTAGCAACGGCGGCAGGAACGGCGGTGTCTGCAGCAGCTGTTCTTCTGGCAAGCTCAATGTCGAGGGCTTTGAGCTCAGCCTGAAAAGCAGTCAGCATCCATGGGAAAATACCCAGATCCAGATGAAGAGCCGGGATTACAACATTCTCCTCGGGAATAGGTAAGATCACTGGACGTATGCTGTTGTTGTAGTTCTTTGCATTCTTTAGATTTGAGCCACTGTTCGTGAATCCAGTGAAATCGTTGTACAGAGTTTCTAGTGTTCTGCTGGTAGAATCGGCATCTGGGTTTAGGGCTGGTGGAATGTCCATATTCTTCTTCTGACATAGACAGTGTAAGCATGGTCGGGTGCCACTGGACCCCGACAAACCATATGCTTTCGTTTGATATTCGTAGTCGCCAAAGAAAAACAATTTGAACGACTTGTTCTTCCATGTTGCTGTTTGCAGATCTCTGACCTCGTCACGATAGACTCCTAGCGCGGTTTCAAGGTTCGATGGCGTGTCTTGTGCCTCGAAGATGCAAATCGGGATAGTGTTGAGGAGTGAATTCGGCCGCTGCACATTCACGATCTGCAGGACAAACTTGAAAGATCCTCCGCCGTGATCACCACCGAGTTTGATCCACAGTGGACGGACCAGTTCGCAAGCAGTTGACAGAACAGGTCGCTTGGCTTTGCCAGTTCTGAAGCACGCAGGGTATGTTGGCAGGCTGGACACTGCGCACCGTTGGTTAATGTTTGGTTAATGTTTGGCATATGCATTTCGTGCAAAATACTCTAGAACAGCATGGTGACCGAACACCATTGCTCGGCATGCTGCGGCAGATCATGCATTGTACTGTGGCTGCTGCACTGCTGTCGGCAAATCTTGACATAGTCAAATTGCACTCTGCTTCATAATCAGGTGCAGATATGTCATACGCCTCACTTTCAGGTATATCCATGCTATTGCTAGATGCATAGGGTTTACCGGGTGTTAGCGGCCGTCGTGAGTTCCCTTCGGGAACGGACACGATAATTTACTTTTTACTTTTATTGCTAGATGCACATGCACTGCTACTGCTTGATGTCATTTTTGCTGCATGCTCCGCTTGCTGTTTTTATCCGTTTGCTTGGTCGGCCACCCTTCGATTTTTCTTGAAACTTGGTGCAGACTCTGCAAATCACAGGTTCATGTCTTCTAACTAAATGTTACTCCTTGTCCACAACCACCGCCACTGGGATTGAACTTCTCTGTGCTCTGTGATCTCTTCAGCACTCTTTGGCAAAGAGCACAGATATATGTTGGGTGAATGGTAGGGTCGTCATTACAAACATCAATACTGAATACGTTTTTCATCGTTTCAGTGTAGTCAGACACTGGATATCTCGTCTGTTGGGAGCACGCAGTAAATTTTGCGCCTCCAACACGGCATAGATGCTGTAAATGCGCTGCATGGTGCTCCATGTCGTGCGATGCGTCGCAGATGTGCATATCTCTCACTGGAAACAGAGAAAAGTAAAGGCCCATCGTATTTTTGATTTCACCATCGTATTCAAAAGAACTTGCGAAAATATAACGGACAACTACCCGAGGATGCGAGGAAAACCTCGAGTGGTGACTGAATAACTCCAGAAGACGTACCACGAGCGTGATGAAGGTAGCTAACAATATACTGACAGCAATTTCAGTCGATAATTCCACTGCGCCAAAACAGAAAGCAACTTCCTTCTCCTTCGTCCGATCAAGGAATGTTTGGTACCAAAATGTTGCTGTGCGCGTCAGCTTTCCACTCCCGCGGATTTAGTATCAAAAATGTGGGGCTAGCGGCGGTAAATCGCGGAAGAATGATAGCAACTCACCTTAATCTCAACGTAAAAATGATTAATCTTTGATTTTTTGCAAAAATCAGCGGGTACCCCCCGCCATGTTAGATGGCCAAAAATCGCTGGCTGAAACAGCCGTGACCGGTACATGCAGTGTTTCAACCAGGGAAGAAAAGTCATGCTAGATTTACAGAGTTTGTTTTAGCATGCATGTGATCGGTGATGTTGCGATGATGCGATCGCCGGTATACCGGTGCGGTATGCACATTGTAGATCTACTTACAAAAAAACTTGAAGAAAAAAATTGTATTTAAGGGGGTTCGGGACAGTTAGCCCCAAAAATTTAATTTCAACATCAGCCCAATCTGACATCAGGTTTGAATAGGTACAGCCTTATATTTTCGCTTAGTAACATCAGTTTTTCAATTGCCCGAATAGGTCTTGCCAAAAACACAATTTTCCTTGATGACACAAAATAACACAAAATCCCAAAATTGATGAGAAATCGACCATAACATCAGTTAGGACAGAAAATATGACATAACATTTTACAGACTGTTCGAGGTGTTGACTAAGATGATATCAACACCGAAAAATGTACACTTTGGTTGATGATGGTTTTAAGGTAGGTACACTTATACAGTGTACCTACCTTAACACAGTATCACATAAAAACATAGTGTGGTGAGTGTGTGTGTGTGTGACCTCCGAGATAAAAGTTCAGACTCGAGTATACTAGTAGTAGTACCAGGAAGCACAAAACCGCACGGTCGCGACTCACACGGTAGATGCTGGGATACTTTGTGCCACTGGTATAACATAAAATTAACAACCAATGTAACATGTGCCAGATGGTCGAAAATCTACAAGCCCAGTCTCTAATATAAGCCCGGGGTCCGGACTGGTTGAAAAATATAAACCCTGGGCTTATATTGTTATAATGGAGATAATACGGTATGCATGTGCATAACAAACACGTCATGTAATGCATGTGGATTTCGAACGTGCATGTGCATGACTGTGTCTTGCATGCATAGTTCAAGCCAAAAGTCATGCATAGCAACTACACGGCTGCACTGCGCTGCGCTGCGGCGAGTGTGCAATGCCCAGCCTAGCACTAGCAGTCAGCACGCGTGGAGTGACCCAGATCAGAGGTCCGGGCATGTGACACAGACATGGGCCATGGCCCATGCATTCCACTCCGCCTGATATACAAGAGGAAAGTCGTTATATTCGATGCATTTCCAGGTCTTCGGGCACCAAAAAAGTGTCAGTAAATTCGATCTGTCGTTATTTTCGAGGTCGTTATACCCAATCTATAATGTGCAGAAGGGAACTTCGGCCCATGCGGTTAGTTGGTTGGTATACTGAAGTACATTGTACATGTATACTTGGCCCACTGTTATGTCTGGCAGTAAGGGCCCGCACACAGCATTACACAGGTTCGTATGGTTATTCTAATAATGAAAGAACTGAAGGACAAGGAAAAAGAGCTCACATTCTCGGACGTCTAGTCCAGCACGGCAAGCATGCAAAACAGCCCATGAGCCAGGCGCGCATGCGCCTGGCTCACGTCTACGTATACAGCATATACAGGAATCGCTCCCCAAAAAAAGAATGTTCCCTGGGGCAAAATTATAACAAATGCAACGAGGCAGTCTAATTCGACGCCAACAAATATAGAGGTAGCTGTTGAAACTACACCGGCCAGACAATACAAAAGCAAAAAAAAAGTGATTGCACACATCTACTTATTATAACAGTTACTGCAGCTTCCGAAATAGTCAATGAGAGCTGGGCAGTAGATCGAGGTAGGAAAGACTGATGAAGTCAGCCCGTATTGCATAGCGTGATACTGAGCGAAATTTGGCCAGGTTCTTGGGGATCCTTCAAGAAGAACTTGTTCTGCGGGAAATGCGATAGTAAAATATTCAAGTGGCTGTATACCTGCAATAGTACCGGTAGTGTCATATCAAAGCACAAATTTCTCATGGCTGATTGCGTTTTTTTTCACAGCATGTTGTTCACAGTGTTATGTAATCAAACTTCGACTTCTGAGCGAGGGAAGAGAGTTGGAGGTTCAACCATGAATCCTGAAAGCCGCGACTCTTGTCCGGGCCTTTGGCTTCGATGGTTTCAAGATAACAGTGAGCCTCCACGGCATTGACGAGGCGTGTGGACTGCTCCGGGTGGTCTGGTTTGATGTTATTCCATGACAAAATCAACTCACAGAGCTCCGTGCATTGCTTAACTATTTCAGTTATGCACTCGACGGTTGCAGGCCCGGCATTGTTCATGCTGGAAACGTCAACGTAGCGAGCATGCGTGCATGTCGAGACTGCCCGGCATACAGCCACCAGACCCTCTCGACCAGTCGGGTTGTCGCCAACATAGACATCAAGTAGGTCAGCTTTCAACGCATCGATGGCAGATACGAGGAGCGCAGAATCGCGTATCGCAGCACCGCGAACGTCCAGAACGCGAACGTCCAGGTTCCTCCGGGCGCTCAGGCTTGCGCTGACCATGGAAAAGCCAGCATCCATCATTATGCAATCTTCTAGGTTTATGCTAGGAAATGAAATACAATCGTGATCGGAAATGATATGGCTAATTGCAGAGCAGGCACGGTGATCAAGCGAAGCAGCCACACGTTCGATGGAAATGATAAGGCCATCAGGAAACACAAGCGGCAATAGAGTGCATTTACCTTTGCATGATGTAGCGTTGAACGAAGCGTGTTCGCAAAGCGCGATGAGAAGTCGCAGCAGGCAAAACCGCTCACGTCCTGTTTTAGCCGGTCTTGGTTTGATAGCAACATTCTGAGCTTCTGCCCGAAGTAGTTTGTGAAACCCTTCTGCAGCTGTTTTGTCTATCTTCTGTAACGCGTGCAGGATCAGTGTCGACGTTGGCGTCTTTTCCAATTTTTCCCAGAGCTTCACCATTGTTAGAAGATACAGACTGTCCGAGTGTTCTTCTTTCACTGGAAATTCGTTTTTGATCCTGCCGTCAACATCCTTTGTGTGGCCCGAAAGCAGGCTTTTGGCCAGCGCCTCCAGGACAGGTCGGGCGAGGACATCGGTCAGGAATTTAAGAACCATCTCCCTGTGACGGGGCAGCCGGAGCACCACTGGCTCAGCATGTAGTGCTGGAGCCGATCCTGAGCCTCCACTTGAGCCTGTGTCGGAAGAGATCTCCGTCGAATCTCCACTTTCACTGTTGCCGAACATATCAGGATCAGGATTTCCCCGTGCCCACTTCTCAGGGTTGGTAATGGAATCTTCGGAGCTGTTGGAAGAACTTGACGGAGGGCCTTCTTCACAGCTTTTAAGCACGTACCCGGAATTGTCATTGTGGGATGATGACTTTCGCCCTCCCCGCGTGGTTTCGTGCTGTGTCTTCATCCTTGGTGAGCTATACAGGTCTTTTCCAGCAGAGTCCATAGCCAATTCGCTTTCCTGGGATGTCAGTGGGGATGCATCTGGTGGGGATGCATTGTTGCTTTCATCCGTATCTTTGAGGTCTTCGTCGTCTCCGACGTCTTCGTCGACTCCATCGTCTTCGTCGTCTCCGTCGTCTTCGTCTCCGTCATCTTCGTCTCCGTCGTCTTCGTCGTCTCCGTCTCCGTCGTCTTCGTCGTCTCCGTCTCTGTCGTCTTCGTCTCCGTTGTCTTCGTCGTCGTCGTCACCACTGTCCTCACTCCGCTCACTGGGCTCGTCCTGACTGGCAGGGTTGTCTTTGGAAATGGCGTTCTCCCAGATCATTTCCAGGACAACTCCGACGTCTTCAGACGGCAACATTGCAAGCATAAACTGCCAGCACAGGGGTGAAATGGCTTGCATCGTTTCAAGCTCCACCGTGATCTCCATTAGCGACGCTTGCTTGCACCAGTCGCACAGGCGTGTCTTGTACAATGCAGCAAAGTATTCCTGGAAAGTCGCGTGATGAAACCAGCAGAGTATCTCACCGGCAGCAATCCCTTCAGGGCTTGATCGCAAGAATCCGAGACCATGCACCGCTGGCTCGACTTTCGACTTGGCAAACTCGTATTGATTCTCCAAAAGCATGCTGTACGCCAAGCGACCAAGGCTGCGCACCGCTTCTGATTCTTGAAGTGCAACACTTGCCGCTTCCAGGCCGCGGGTCACACAGTCAGTACTACGGCCCGCCAGGATGCGCATTACCATCATCTCGTATATACGCGTGATGCTGTGAGGCACTTTGAAGCCAGCCTTATACATAGTACACAGAGTAGCGGCATACAGCGGAGTGCGGAGCAGAGTTTTCAGCTCTGGGTCCTTTTGCAAGTGGAGCATCATAAGCTGCGCCTTCTCGGGTTCCAGAGCTCGACGTATGTAACTCTTCACACCTGAATCAGAGAACCCAAGAACTTCCACTTTCCGACGATATTTTCCACAGTGGGAGAGATTCGACGCATCTTGGCATGGCCGTGATGTCACTATAACGCTTGCCGCACTCACACTGCCTTTCCGTAAGACGAGGTCGTTCATGTACGTGCTTAGACCGGAAAGTCTACATTCATCAAGTCCATCCAGGATCAAGCACAATCGGTGTGGATTAGAGCGAAGGTGACGTGCCAACTCTTGCAGCTCGTCATCATCCATATCCATGCTTTTCAATTTGGTGGAGAGAAGCTCGTGCAAACTCTTGGCCTTTTGTACTGCTGGTTTTCGCAGAGGCACAGCAAACACAAGATCGAACCTGTCTCTCCACAGCTCTCCTCTACTCCATTTGTACACGGCAGATAGGAGAAAAGCAGTCGATTTCCCGGTCCCACCACTACCAAGAGCTAGCGCATTGTTTGCTGAATTGGTTCCGTGATCGGACTTGGACGCCAACAGTTCGTCCAGTGGCATTTCATGTTCCAACGGCCGCTCGGAAGGCTTTGAGCCCACCATTGACTCATCACAAAGCAGGCTTTTCAGCCGAGCCTGATCTAACAGTTGAAGATTGACGTAGATCTCCCCCAAAGGGATTTCTACATCAGTGTCCAATCCACCACTCAACTGGAGTCCAGTTGCCTGAATGGCGTCCGAGATCAGCCGCCTTGCTTCGTCAACGGACCGTGGCGGCGGATTTCTTTTTGCTGATGGTTCCATCACTATCCGTGCTCAGCCTACTTAGCGCGAAGGTCAGGAGCATTATTCCTTTGGACCTAGCGCTAGCTCCGAAACATAAAAAGAAAAGATAAGTAAATCGACGGTCACGATCGATTGATTGGTAGACTCTACCATACATGCATGCATACCGCACGGCTGTTCCCACTTGGCCATCTAACAATATGGCGGCTTTTGCGCCGTTTTTGACAAATCCCAACGGTATTTTATAATACGAAGCGAATTATTACATTTTCACATCAAAACCATGACGAACCGAATTTTTGTACTTGCTGACACGCGCGTCAGACGCGTTCTCGATCGCCTCGAAAATATTGTGAGGAAAGAGATTGAGAGATGAGAACAAAGGAAACAATCTGAATTATTTTGAGAGGAGAGAAAGCTAAAAGAGCTCGATGGAAGGCCGAGAATTTCAGATAGGCCAGCAAACAAGATGCAGAGATACACTAACTTTACTGTGAGGATTTCCTCTTCCTGCTGACTGGACGGAGCGACTCGTGTTGTGGGAGAGTTGCAATCAAATGCGTCTGTGCAACAGACTTGAGGCGCTCCAAGGGATTGCGGATGGCCTCGTGGTGTCTCCTTAGCTCGTTGAAGCGGGCGTGAATGCTCTCACTCCCTTGCTCTGCGAGGAGACCAAGACCAACGCCTCGCCGTCGGATGGACGGCACGACATGCACCTCCAACATGTGCAATTTCGGCGTGATGTGGCCGAGCTTTTTGCTGACGACGATATCTCGGCATGCAGTCATAAATGTCTCCACCAAGCCTTCTAGCTTGGATATGGTGGCCTCGTCCACAGGCCTGCAGTGGCTGAAGAGGGCAGTGCACTCGCCATACAGGGACATCAGGTGCTGGTAATCCTCATGAATTCGATTTGCCTCTGGGAGCAGCAGAGCAGCAGCGGCGCACGAGAAGCTACTGCAGATAAATGTGCTGGGGTTATTTCAGTTGTCACTGCTGGCTGAAGAGCTATGTGCACATGGTTGCCCACAAAAGCACCTCCATGGTATGCTTGCCTATCGATTCCATTGCGCTGGAAAACTGGCTCGATGCTTGCTCAACATGGCCCCTCACACTTTTTGTTCTGTTTTATTGCGGCCATTTGGTCGGTGAGTGACTGTCTCCACGCAAGCAATACAGTACGGCGTGCATCACCATTCTTCCACTGGTCTTGTAGGTGTTGTGTCACGCTCTCCACTGTGGCAGCAGGTATCAAGCTGAGAAAAGAGAACAGTGTACTGGACTTGCTGCTGCACTACATGTAGTTGTTGGGTAACTGCAGAAATCTCCTCATCCGTTTTGCTGGCTTCATGCAGTGACGAAAGCTTTTCAAAGCTGCCAGCATCACCAGCTACTGCTGTAGCAGCAATGGCTGCAAGGATGACAGTGGCAGCAGGAACGCCTGCAGGAGCGACAGTGGCTGCAGGAGCAGCTGCAGGGACGGCAGTGGCAGCAAGGACGGCAGTGGCAGCAGGAACGGCTGCAAGGACGGCTGCAGGGACGGCTGCAGGGACGGCAGCAGGAACGACTGCAGGGACGGCTGCAGGGATGGCAGTGGCAGCAGGAACGGCGGCAGTGGCAGCAGGAACGACGGCAGTGGCAGCAGAAACAGCGGCGGTGTCTGCTGTAGTAGCAACGGCGGCAGGAACGGCGGTGTCTGCAGCAGCTGTTCTTCTGGCAAGCTCAATGTCGAGGGCTTTGAGCTCAGCCTGAAAAGCAGTCAGCATCCATGGGAAAATACCCAGATCCAGATGAAGAGCCGGGATTACAACATTCTCCTCGGGAATAGGTAAGATCACTGGACGTATGCTGTTGTTGTAGTTCTTTGCATTCTTTAGATTTGAGCCACTGTTCGTGAATCCAGTGAAATCGTTGTACAGAGTTTCTAGTGTTCTGCTGGTAGAATCGGCATCTGGGTTTAGGGCTGGTGGAATGTCCATATTCTTCTTCTGACATAGACAGTGTAAGCATGGTCGGGTGCCACTGGACCCCGACAAACCATATGCTTTCGTTTGATATTCGTAGTCGCCAAAGAAAAACAATTTGAACGACTTGTTCTTCCATGTTGCTGTTTGCAGATCTCTGACCTCGTCACGATAGACTCCTAGCGCGGTTTCAAGGTTCGATGGCGTGTCTTGTGCCTCGAAGATGCAAATCGGGATAGTGTTGAGGAGTGAATTCGGCCGCTGCACATTCACGATCTGCAGGACAAACTTGAAAGATCCTCCGCCGTGATCACCACCGAGTTTGATCCACAGTGGACGGACCAGTTCGCAAGCAGTTGACAGAACAGGTCGCTTGGCTTTGCCAGTTCTGAAGCACGCAGGGTATGTTGGCAGGCTGGACACTGCGCACCGTTGGTTAATGTTTGGTTAATGTTTGGCATATGCATTTCGTGCAAAATACTCTAGAACAGCATGGTGACCGAACACCATTGCTCGGCATGCTGCGGCAGATCATGCATTGTACTGTGGCTGCTGCACTGCTGTCGGCAAATCTTGACATAGTCAAATTGCACTCTGCTTCATAATCAGGTGCAGATATGTCATACGCCTCACTTTCAGGTATATCCATGCTGTTGCTAGATGCATAGGGTTTACCGGGTGTTAGCGGCCGTCGTGAGTTCCCTTCGGGAACGGACACGATAATTTACTTTTTACTTTTATTGCTAGATGCACATGCACTGCTACTGCTTGATGTCATTTTTGCTGCATGCTCCGCTTGCTGTTTTTATCCGTTTGCTTGGTCGGCCACCCTTCGATTTTTCTTGAAACTTGGTGCAGACTCTGCAAATCACAGGTTCATGTCTTCTAACTAAATGTTACTCCTTGTCCACAACCACCGCCACTGGGATTGAACTTCTCTGTGCTCTGTGATCTCTTCAGCACTCTTTGGCAAAGAGCACAGATATATGTTGGGTGAATGGTAGGGTCGTCATTACAAACATCAATACTGAATACGTTTTTCATCGTTTCAGTGTAGTCAGACACTGGATATCTCGTCTGTTGGGAGCACGCAGTAAATTTTGCGCCTCCAACACGGCATAGATGCTGTAAATGCGCTGCATGGTGCTCCATGTCGTGCGATGCGTCGCAGATGTGCATATCTCTCACTGGAAACAGAGAAAAGTAAAGGCCCATCGTATTTTTGATTTCACCATCGTATTCAAAAGAACTTGCGAAAATATAACGGACAACTACCCGAGGATGCGAGGAAAACCTCGAGTGGTGACTGAATAACTCCAGAAGACGTACCACGAGCGTGATGAAGGTAGCTAACAATATACTGACAGCAATTTCAGTCGATAATTCCACTGCGCCAAAACAGAAAGCAACTTCCTTCTCCTTCGTCCGATCAAGGAATGTTTGGTACCAAAATGTTGCTGTGCGCGTCAGCTTTCCACTCCCGCGGATTTAGTATCAAAAATGTGGGGCTAGCGGCGGTAAATCGCGGAAGAATGATAGCAACTCACCTTAATCTCAACGTAAAAATGATTAATCTTTGATTTTTTGCAAAAATCAGCGGGTACCCCCCGCCATGTTAGATGGCCAAAAATCGCTGGCTGAAACAGCCGTGACCGGTACATGCAGTGTTTCAACCAGGGAAGAAAAGTCATGCTAGATTTACAGAGTTTGTTTTAGCATGCATGTGATCGGTGATGTTGCGATGATGCGATCGCCGGTATACCGGTGCGGTATGCACATTGTAGATCTACTTACAAAAAAACTTGAAGAAAAAATTGTATTTAAGGGGGTTCGGGACAGTTAGCCCCAAAAATTTAATTTCAACATCAGCCCAATCTGACATCAGGTTTGAATAGGTACAGCCTTATATTTTCGCTTAGTAACATCAGTTTTTCAATTGCCCGAATAGGTCTTGCCAAAAACACAATTTTCCTTGATGACACAAAATAACACAAAATCCCAAAATTGATGAGAAATCGACCATAACATCAGTTAGGACAGAAAATATGACATAACATTTTACAGACTGTTCGAGGTGTTGACTAAGATGATATCAACACCGAAAAATGTACACTTTGGTTGATGATGGGATCCAGGTCGTCATTTCCTGGAGAAGAACAAAAAGACGCAAAAAATGAAACTTTGAATATTTTTTGCAGCTTATTTTTGAGTTGCTTAAAGACGCAGCGTCTTTTCAGAAGTATTTTGATCTTCTTTTCAGCAAACGGCCTCATTGATCTGCATCGCTTGTATTGTATACCTGTGTTTATTGCTTACTGCTTACTGCTGCTTTATTGTTCCAAGTATCAGTTTAGTTTAGTTTAAATATCTCTTATTTTTTCTCACCCCACACCCCTCTACTCTGTTATCGGCCCTCTTAAGAGTTGTGTTCATCACTGTTGAGGCTTCCGATGGAAAATAAAAGAATACTACTACTACTACTAGTTTGCCCCATATGTGGATACTTCAAACACGTTCTATAAGTGGGTTGGAACAGGTTTACCGCGGCGAAAATAGGGGTCACCGTGCATATTCTGGAGAAAAATCCAAAAAACTGTCAAAATTTGCCTAAAATTGGTAAATTCACGTATCTATATTGCTTGTACTTCTCTGCTGCTGCTTTGGTCATAACTTATTGGATTTTTGGCTGTTAATAGGTGTTGCATAAACTCACTAGAGCCCTCGGCGTTCAGAACAATACAAGGATGGAATAGCTGAACTAGTAAATTTGCCGGAAAACCCTGGGTGCACGCATTATCGATAGGTACTTTTCTCCATGATTACTCTCCTGTTAACATGTTGGCACTTGGTTGTGATACATGTACATGTAGCTATGATAGCGCTTAGCACTGCCCCATATCAAACTACAATGAAAGCTGACATGTTGGAACGAATCAGACAACATTGAGTCCTCTTGTTCTTCAACTATGCGAGCTAGAACGTGTCCCCACACTGGCAAAAATGATGGTATTTTACGGTGCGCACAAACAAATGAAGCACTGTGCCACAGGGCGTTCCTTACAGTTGGGTTGCTGTTGGTTCTTCGCTAGGTGTTCAGCCACCACTAATATATTCTTCCTTGAGACTGTCACCCGCTTCTTACC